ATCCCATCCCATCCCATCCCATCCCATCCCATCCCATCCCATCCCATCCCATGGGATGCCGGTTCAGCTCCCCGCGGCTGGTCCCGCTCCCGCCCCCCCCGGGCATATCCCTCTTCCCCGCGTCCGGGCGCGTTCTTAGAAAAGGGAAGGCGGCCTCTGGAGAAAGGGGAAGCGCCCCTGTTTCGCAACCGGGAAGGGAAGGGATGCGAAAGCTCCATCCCGGGGGGGGCAGCGGGACCGGCGCGGCCCCCGCGTTGCCATGGCGACCGCGCCCCGCCCCGCCCCGCCCTCACCAACCATGGCGGCCGCGCCGCCCTCAGCCCGCCGCATCGCGCATGCTCCCTTTTTCCCAACCAATCACCGCCCGCTCCTCCCCAGCCCAGGGGGCGTTCCCGGGCGCGCGGGGGGGAGATCGGCCAATCGGCGGCGGGGAGGAGGGCGGGGCCTCGGCGGGAACCGGGCGCCGCCACCGCCCACGGCCGCCGCCGCCGCCCTGCCCGGCCCGGCCCGGCCCCAGCGCCCTCCGCACCGGCCCCTGCAGGGCCGCGGCCGCCGTGCCGGACGGGCCCCCCCGGCACGGGGGGCCGGGTGCGGGTGTCCCCCATGTCGGCGCCGCTGAAGAAAGGCCCCGGCGGGCTGATCGGGCTGATGAAGGACGCGTTCCAGCCGCACCACCACCACCTCGGGCCGCACCAGCCCGGCGCCGTGGACAAGAAGATGGTGGAGAAGTGCTGGAAGCTCATGGATAAGGTGGGAGGGGGGTGAGGTGGCGTGGGGTAAAGCTGGGGCTCGGGGGTCTGGGATGAGCCTGGAGTTCCGGGAGAGAGGGGTTTGGGGCTGGGAGGAGAGATCTGGGGGGTCAGAGGTGTGCGGGCACAGAGTGGGGTGCAGCGCTTTGGGGGGGAAGGATGTAGGGAGCGTGGGGTGACAGGACACAGGGAGTGGTTCACACTGACAGAGAGGAGGTTTAAACGGGGTATTGGGAAGAAATTCCTCACTGCGAGGGTGGAGAGGCCCTGGAATGGCTTTCCCAGAGAAGTTATGGCTGCCCCAGCCCTGGAAGTGTTTAAAACCAGACTGGACTTGGTTTGGAGCAACCTGGTCTAGTGGAAGGTGTCCCTGCCCATGGCAGCGGGTGGAACGAGATGAGCTTTAGGGTCCCTTCCAAGCCAACCCATTCCATGATTCCACGTGGGAGCTGATGGAGAGGTGAGGAGTGGAGGACATCCCAGAGGCAGGATGGGAGTGGGATGCCAAGGTGGGAAGGAGATCAGCAACTTTGCAAGGGGTGGGCTGTGGGGGGAACAGGTTGGAGGAAGACAGGGTAATTTGGGATGGGGGATGCAGACCTGCTCAAGGGGATCTGGGATTTTTGCTTCCCCGGGGCTGCCAGACCTCCAGGAGCGTTTGGACAGCGATCTCAGGCACAGGGTGGGATCGTTGGGGTGTCCTGTGCAGGGCCAGGGGTTGGACTGGGTGCTCTTCATGGGTCTTTTCCTCCTCAGGGTATCCCATGATAATCCTGTAGGTGCTGGGCTGGGTGCTGGTGGTGCTGGGAATGGGTAGGACCTGGTGGGGAGCTGCAGGTGGTGTCAGCAGCAGGTCCTGCCTGTGTGTAACTGCACAAGGGAGAAATCCCGGGATTTGCTGGTTGGAAGGTGAGCCTGGGCCTGTGACAGAGCCTGGGTGGTGGAGCTGAGCACCTGCTTTGGGGCAGGTCAGGCTGTTCTTTTCTGAATGGACAGGGACACGTTGCTGAGCTCAGGGCAAAACCTTTCCCTTAAAACTGGGAAGTAAAACATGAAATAAACCCTCTACAATAAATACACATAGTTACACAGACAAAAGGAGCATGAAATGTAATATAAACAGCGAACAACTTGTGGTGTGGGAATGGGAAAGGCCCTTCTTTCCAGTCCCACACCTTTAGGAGGGGCACAGCTCTCTGGGGTCATTAAGCCTCTCCCCTCCTCCTCCTCCTTTTAAAACGCCAGGAAGTGGCTGTTGCCGGGGGCAGGACACCAGACCTTTTGGCCTGGTGGTGTGAGGGGATGTGGCATTTGGTTCACTGGCCTGGCTAGGTGTGCTGGTAAATCCAGTGTTTTAGGAAACCCTGGGGAGATCTCAGGGAATGGCCCAGTGAGTGAGTGTGGGCGCACAGAAGTGGGCATGAAACAAAAATGTGACATTTTTTGCGGGATTTTGGCTGATCCTCTGATGTTGCTGTGCAGCCCTGAGATCAAGGCTGGGCTTGACACATTGCAGTGTGTTTTATGGCACTGGGTTCAGAGTAAGGCTCACCCACAGTCCTTGGGGAGTGTCACCTGGCCACCTTCTTCCCAGCAGGCAGGGCTGATGGGATCCCTCATCCAGTTGCCCTGCAGGCTTATGCATTTCCACCTTTCCCTCTCTTCTCCCTGCATTGTTTATCCATGCAGTGTCTGAGCCTCCTGCAGTAAGTGCTAAAAGCAGGCAGAGCAAATGACTTCTTTAAAGGCTGTATTAAATTATATTCATGCCAAGAGATCACTTTGTGTTGGCTGGCTCCACAGAAGACAGGGTTTATGGTTGTGCCTTGCTGTGCCTGTGATGAGCTTTGATCACCTACAGCGAGACTGGGATGAGGAAAAAAGCCTTTTGAGAAAGTGCCATTGAGGGCAAGCACAAGTGCTAATGTGGGAAAGGGAGTCTGAGCATGGAAACAGGGTCCTGAATAGGTTTAACTTGCACATGCAACTTGTGAGAATGCACATCTTCATATACAGAATATATGGGTATGAATGTCAACCTGTCTTTGACCTCATAACCTGTTCAAAGGAAAAGGTGGGCCTGAAAAAAACCAGCTGATTGCCTTGGCATTTTGAAAGGCAGTGGGATTTTGGGGGGGGATATTTCATGGCTTCAGATCTGACAGAAAAGGCTGCTGCTGTATTTGTCACAAGTTAAACCAACCTCTTTTAAACGTGCACTGACTCCAGTTTTACTTGTAGGCAGCCTCCAAAAGCCCTTAGATGGAGGCTTAAAGTCTTAAAGAGTTAGTTGTTCAGTGTGATTTGTACAGGAGGAAAGATTTGGCCGTGAAAAGCCTTTCAGATTTCAGTTAGACCCCAGCTGTACTTAGGCATGCTCAGGAGAACACCTCTGAATTCAAACTCTTTTTAGTGGTGTAGCAAATTACCAGTAAAGCTGGTGGTGAGAAGGGCTAAGTGAATGGAAGGTGTTGCAAATGGGTTAGATTTCTGGAATTACAGGTGCAGGTATAAAAACCCCCTGGTGTGCATGTTTAATAGATGATGTTTGTGCCTTGCAGAGCTGCGTGCTGTGTCTGTGTGTGCACACTGCACTCACGGCCTCGTTTGTCAGCCTGCATAATTAGCTGGGGTTGTCAAAGCATTTGTGCATCTCTGCTCTGGGATGTGACTGATGAATTTCCTATGCAAGTTGATTCTTGTCCAAATATTTCCCCTGTAATGTTCTCCATAAGCTGCCTGACGTATTTTATGTCTTTCAGATTCTTTCATTTGAAGTCCTGATTTTTTTCCTCAGCGCTAACCATTCCTCCCACAGCTCCACGTGGCCCCGTGGACATAAAATAGCCCTTTCCATCCCTGTGGATGTTCACCTTCAGCTGAATGAGGTGGTATTTATGCACTTCTCTGCAGAGCAGTGATTAAGTGCAGCCCACTGGAGTTGGTTGCTGTGGGTGGAATCTGAGGAATAGGTGGGTTAGTCATGAGGTGGAAGGGAGGGAGCAGAGGAATGACAGAGTACACGGAGGAGGAAGAGGAACTCTGAAATAAAGCTTCTCTAAACAGCTTTCTGATGCCATTCAGTTCCTAGAACTGCTATAGAGAAGTGCCACTGCAGGTCACCTTCACTGGAAGTGCAAGAGAGGCCAGACACAAATTCAGCAGGAGATAAGAGATGTTTGAGTAGGTTTTGTTTTGCTGTTGGCTTAAGGTGAAATGAGGTGTGATTTCAGTAAAGTCGGTCGTTCAGCTGTTAAAAGAAGGGAAAAACGAATTTTCAGAGCTGCCTGGAAGGGAAAATCTTACCTGGGACAGCAGCACCTGGATGCTTGTCCGGCCTGGGACTCAATTCCAGGAATCAGTCAGGGCAAGCTGCAGGTTCTTGAAGGGAAACATTCAATTCCAGGCCTCCAAGACATAGATGAGATTGTTTTTCCTCCTGTTTTGAAGATTCTTTCTTCAAAACTGAGTTGGGGAAACTGTTGGTTTTTTATTATGATTATTTTCTGCTCTCAAGTTTGGAAAATTGAGCGGATAATTTCAATTTTAGGGTTTGAAAAGGCTACACCTCTTAGAATGTTAATGCTAAGCTTGCAGTGCTTTATCGGCACGTCTAAAAACCCAAAAAGGCTTGTTCCTGAGAGAACAAAGCATAAGCCAGGCAAACTTGGATGCGTTGGGCTGATAATTTAAAAGCAGGGATTGCTTCTCTTTGCTGCCATCACACCTAACAGAAAATATTTGCTGCTTTTTGCTCCATTTCCTTCCACGTTGCTGGTCCCTGTGGAAGGCTGGGTGGCTGCTGAGGGGCAGCTGTTCCCAGGGCTGGGAACATTCCTTTGGGCTCTGTCACGATGCTGCAAGTGCACACGTAGAGAAAGAAGCAAAATGCGACTGCTTTTGGTGCTGTTGTGTTATAAAACCACCAAGTTTGCTCAAGAGGCAGCGGTTCCCAGTCGTGTAGCGTTGTTCAGCTGCTTATCTTAGCTAATGCTGCTCTGCTTGGTAAATAAAGAAGCTGATTTGATAATAAAATAACAGCAGTTTTGACCTTTCTGTTAACTGTTGGAGGGATCTTTGCGAGTCACTTCTCGGGAAGTGTTTGGTGGGGGCTCTGAGAAGGAGCAGTTTTGCAGAACTTGCTTCTGCTGTGGGGAAACTGTTCTGATTGGTATCAAAGCCCGTTACAGGACTGAAGTACAGCGGGTTTGCTGCTTCCAGAGCTGGGTATTTTCAAAGGGTAGCAGCCAAATTGCTCTCTCAGATGGCTGAGGGAAGTGCATACTCTGACTTGTTTGCTTGCTTAATGTGGCTTCCTCCTAAGAGCTGACTGTGTTTGTTAAGGTTTTAAACCCACTGTGGAATAAACAATTTCTGCTGAAGAAAAAGGTTTTGCTACCCCAGAGCACAACTCAGCTGTGTCTGAGGAGCATATTTAGAACCTATTCATGCTGCAGAGTGAAACTACTTTTTTTTTTTTCCAGGGGACAAATGTGTTGACTCAATTTGTTGATATGGTTCATTGTACAATGTTCACAGGCTCCAAGGAAGCAGCAGTTGAGGCATCAGCATCAATTGACTCAGTCAGCTGTCTGGCCATCCATCTCCTTATCTAGACCTCCTAATCCTTGGCAGCCTCTGCAAAATGGAGGGGAAAGTTTGGTGGTTTGTTTTTTCCCCCATGTATTCTTGCAGAGGCTTTTTTAGGCGTGTGATTTTTTTTCAATGGCAGTTTGATTTTTTTTCCTGTTGGAGTTTTTGGTACGCTGTGTGCCTTTCTCTGGGCTGAAATGGAACCTTTCTCAGTCAGCTCTTGTTAGGGGCACTGCTGCAAGTCAGGTAGAATTGGAGATGTCACTTCACCAGGTTGCTTTTTGCACACACAGTTAAATGCTAAAACGCTGCTTCAGAAGAACTGACTCTGTTTACCATCAGTGTTTAAGTGAAGTAGGTATTTAAATATCCGCTGTAGGGAACTGCTCAATTCCTCTTGAAGGTTTCACAAGGTTTTGTGGAAATGATGTGCTGCAAAAGAATGTTAAATTATTCTTTTGCCTTTTCCTATCCACTGCACTTAAATTTTGTGTTGTTTGATACCTGCAATTCCCTCATACCTGGCAGTGTCCTGAGTTCAGACCTGTTTAACATTCATTATAGCAAAGAATAGGAAACTGTAACTACATTTTGTGCTGTGCTTCCTCCCAAGTTTACTCTAAATCACGGAACATAGAAGTGTTAGCCACTAAAACTATCCCAGCTGCTGGTTCTTATAAGCTTGATCTAAAACTAACCTCACAAGTCTAATTTCAGCCCTTTTTACAACTGAAAGTTCACTGCTTAATTTTTCAGTTTGCTGCTTTGCCATCAGCTCTCCCTGTTATTCTCTCAGTTTAGGCAATGGAAAATTTGGGCTGTGACAGGGGGTGAAGTGGCTTCCTTTATCCTCCCCTGCCACAGAAATTTATTGTCATGAGTTTCATCAGTCCAGAGGCTCTTCATTCCAGAAACTGGAGTCTTCTGTGGTGGCTGGGCTGACTGTCTGGAGAAAATAGCCTGGAGAAAAGGAGGCTCAGGGGAGACCTTATCACCCTCTAAAACTACCTGAAAGGAGGTTGCGACCAGGGAGGATCGGGCTCTGCTCCCAGAGAACAAGGGACAGGATGAGAGGAAACGGGCTCAATTTGTGCCAAGGGAGGGTCAGGTTGGACATCAGGAGGAATTTCTTCAAGGAAGGAGTTGTCAAACATTGGAAGGGGCTGCCCAGGGAGGTGGTGGAGTCCCCATCCCTGGAGGTGTCCAAGGAAGGACTGACAGTGGCACTCAGTGCTCTGGGCTGGGGGACAAGGGGCTAATGGATCACAAGTTGGCCTGGGTGGCCTGGGGGGTCTTTTCCAACCCAAGTGATTCCGTGATTCTGTCTGGACTTGACCAAGAAATGCGGTTTGAGGGCGAACATTTCAGACTTTTGACGCCGAATTGTGTTTAAGCTCCTGGTCACTTGATTTCAAAAGGGTGTTTTCTCCCCTGAGCGCAGGTGGTGCGTTTGTGTCAGAACCCCAAGCTGGCCCTGAAGAACAGCCCACCCTACATCCTGGACCTGCTGCCTGACACCTACCAGCACCTGAGGACCATCCTGTCCCGCTACGAGGGCAAGATGGAGACCCTGGGGGAGAACGAGTATTTCCGGGTGTTCATGGAGAACCTGATGAAGAAAACCAAGCAGACCATCAGCCTCTTCAAGGAAGGGAAGGAAAGGATGTATGAGGAGAACTCCCAGCCTAGGTAATGCAGAGAAATGGTTCCAAAAATTCGTTGTAGAAACTAAATAGGTTGGATACGTCATATTTAAGGGGGGTCACTTGTCACCTCGTCTTTCCTTTTGTACAAAGGCAGAGCTGAGATCAAGGGACGTCTTCAAGGTGAGCAGCACTTACTGGAAGGGATAGGTGGAGGTAGAAACTGCAGTTGCATCTGAATATAAGGCTCTCTTGAACAAAAACATTTGAATTTCATGAGCAGTGCACTGTAGAAAAAGTGTTTCTTCATCCAGCATTACGGAAAGAAGAGATGATTTAAGATTAGGATAAAGCTCTGGAGAAGGTTAACCTTACACATTTGTGTGGCTGTTGGCAGCAGGTCTGACAGACAGAGATATACAAGGCATGCATTTGTAACTCTAAACTCATTTCAGGATTTTGAAGTAGATGCTGAACTGAAGTAGATGCTGAATTAAAAAAAAAAAAAGGTGGAAAAAAAGAGTAAAAACCACCCAGTGGCTGAACATAATTGCCCTGGGGAGAATGTGGTTAACGCCCTGGCAACTGCTTGCTTGAATTACTGGAGGGGGGAGAAGTGCTGGCACATGTTTCTGGTTTAATATTGAACTCTGTGTAGCATATTCTGTCATGTTGAGCTCCAAGCAGAGCCTGTGATAGTGTCTCCAGAAGGCATTGCTAATGCTGTTTGAATTGTTACCCACTGCGTGGAAGAATGAATTAAGAAATGAAAAGTTTCTTTTTGGGTTGTTGCTGCCTCTGTGTGTGTGTGTATTGTGATCTGCCTGTCAGGAATGTGGAACATCTGATGGGTAAATGATGGCTGTGTCAGTCCCAAATCCAAAATCCCACCTCCAGTTCCAAAGGGAAGCAGAGAGAAACAATTCCAGAGAGTTTATCATCCTGGTTGGTTTGTATTCCAACTAATTGAGTAAAGGGAGGGAGGGAAATGCAGATTGACAGATGTGAAGTCAGACAGAGGATTGCAGTGTGGGCTGGTGTTCTCACAGCAGGGATGGGAGTCCCTGGGGGATTGCTAATTGTCCCATTTATGAGTAAACAGCTTACCAGGGAAGGAACTGTGGTGAGACTTGTAAACACAGGCATAAAAACAGCATCACATCCTGATTGCTCTCACTGCATCTTCCTTTGCTCCTCCAGTCAGCCCAGGAAGCAGCAGTTGCTGTTTTGTCCTAAATGGGTAATGCCAGAGAGCCTTTTCCTGGTCAGGAGCATGGGAACCTTCTCAGTTCTTTCATTTGTCATGGAAAAGAAGGAGGTTACAGCAGTCAGTGCATATGAGCTGTGTACCAGTCCAAAAGAGATTTGCACAAAGAATGGGCCTTTGGGATTTGGGGGATTTTGTTAAATGCTGCACTTCCAGTGTCAGACTTTCCTGGTTGGATGAGCTCATGGAACCCGATCACTTTAGTGCTATTTGTTATATCTGAAATTGAGTTACATTCATTTTTTCTATAACTGCACTTGTAGATTTAAAATGTATATAATAATTTGAGGTGAAGAAACTTAAATTTTCTCGCCTTGCTAGGAGTGGAAGAAAAACACTAATTTTTGTAAGAATTAGTGAATTCAAATATTCCAAGTGTGGGAGGATTGTCAGGAGTCTGCAAAGCAAACAAATATAACCTGAATCTGGTATTCATGGGGAATGGACTCATGTCAGTGTGTATATATGTGTGTGTGTATATATATTGTATATGTAAAAAATGTGATTTTCTCTTGATTTCATGCAAGTTTATGGCTGTTTGTCTGCAGTGTTTTGAGAAGAGGACTTTAAAAATCTAATAATCACGTTGTCTTGACTTTTTGTGACCCTTTTTTCCCCTGTTGTTCTTGAAGCTTCTTTCTTCCTGCCTTCCAGACTTAGCATTCATTTTGCCTCCTGGTGTGTGTGCTCTTATTTTCCTCCCCCAAACGTCTCTTGATGCAGAGCAAATGCACTGTTTTGACATTTGCATAAGCAGTGTGGAAGCTGTGCAGGTGTTTGCTCCCAGCAAACAGACCAGTAATGAAAAATGAAGCCTCTCTTAGATTTTAGGACCAGAATCGTCTTCATCACTTGAGCATCAACCCTCTATTCTTATCATTTCCAAACTGAGAGGTAAATGCACAAAGAGCAGACATTTTTAGGGGTTCTCCAGTGTGCTGTGAGGCAGAATTGGAGCAGAGCTGGGGAGATTCACCAGGTCTTGGAGGTGCTGGTGCTGCTTTCTGAGTGAAGAGCTGCAAGATGTTTGGTGCAGTGTTGTGCTTGTGTTCAGGGCACGTGAAGGAGCATAATAAGGACGTTCCTTGGGCTTTCAAATGCAGAAGTACAAAATAAGTCATGTCCTGAGCGTTTCAAGGCAGGTTTGAAAAGAGAACTCACGGAGGGGTTTGTTCTCCTCCCAGGCTGCAGCAGAGGAGCAGAAGAGAGCAGTGCTACAGGCTGGGCACAGAGGGGCTGGAGAGCAGCCAGGCAGAGAGGGACCTGGGGGTTTGGATTGACAGGAAGCTGAACATGAGCCAGAGTGTGCACAGGTGGCCAAGAAGGCCAATGGATCCTGGCCTGGCTCAGGAACAGGGTGGCCAACAGGTCCAGGGAAGTGATTCTTGCCCTGCACTCAGCACTGGTGAGGCCACCCCTGGAGTGCTGTGTCCAGTTCTGGCCCCTCAGCTCAGGAAGGACATGGAGGTCCTGGAGCAGGGCCAGAGAAGGGCAACAAGGCTGGGGAAGGGACTGGAGCACAAGTGCTGTGAGGAGAGGCTGAGGGAGCTGGGGCTGTTCAGCCTGGAGAAGAGGAGGCTCAGGGGAGACCTCCTCACTCTCTGCAACTCCCTGACAGGAGGGGGGAGCCAGGTGGGGGTTGGTCTCTTCTCCCAGGCAAGAGGGCTGGGTCTGAAACTGTGCCAGGGGAGGTTTAGGTTGGATATTAGAAAGAATTTCTTTCCAGAGAGGGTGATCAGTCATTGGAATGGGCTGCCCAGGGAAGTGGTGGATTCTCCATCCCTGGAGGTTTTTAAGAAGAGACTGGATGTGGCATCAGTGCCATGGGCTGGGAACCACGGCGGGGTTGGATCAAGGGTTGGACTGGATGATCTCGGAGGTCCCTTCCAACCCAGCTGATTCTGTGATTCTCTGATTCTAAGTGCTGTGAGCAGGGTTTGGAAAGGCTGCTGGGAGCCCTGGCTGTGCTCACAAAAGCAGGGGAGTTTCTCCCTCCAGGTTTGGGCTGTTCAGATGGACGTGGCTGTCCCGTGTCACCTCCTCTGTGGTAACACCACCCGGCCAGCGCTGGAACACTCAATGCCTTCCTTTCTTTTCTTAGCCCTGCAGTGGCTTTTCTGGCTCTGGAGAGCTGTGGGTTTGATGTAGAGGGGTTTTTTTCTGTGTATATATAAATTAACCATAGTTGTTCCTCTCTCGAGTGAGCTCCTGCTGCGATTTTTGTGAAGAGAACTCTCTTGTTTTATTAGGAGAGCTTTCAAGATGCTGTTTAAATTCTGCTTTAGCTCACTTCCATATCTGTTTAAAAATTAATGCTGCTGAGGGTGCTTTTAAAGCTCCGTGTGTGTGCACTTCCTGACTAATAAGTACAAGTAGCAGCTCCTAGTTACTGTTTAAATACTGAATTTTAGCAAGTAGATCAGATTGGACTTGGTGACTTGTGAGTGGATTTTTGTGGAGATAACTCTGTTGCTCCTCTGAGTTTTGACAGCTGCCAGTAACACGTGCAGGCTTTGGTCTTGGAATCAAATAGCATTTCCAGAGTTAATAATTTTGGATATTTTGTCCCATGTAAAGGCAAGTCATCCAATAATTGGTTGGCTGAGTGCAGTAATTAGCAGGAATTCTTGGGGCTATACATATTTCCAGAGCTGTGGTTCCTTTTTTATCCAGTGGTAAATATTCCAATGACTTCTCTGAACTGGTAAATATGATGAATTTCTTGAGTTTACTTTTTAACTAGTGGTAATAACAAAAATCTGGTTAAACATATGTATTTTTTCCCTGCAGTGTGATGGTTCCATTCCTTGGCAGTGCCATCCATGCTGATACCACTGCCCTGACCATGCCTGAGCTCTCGATTTCGGTTTCATTTGGAGGCTCAGTGGTTGCCTTGGACTATTTTTTTTCCTTTCCGTTGCAGAAAGCTTTTATTTCTCAGCCCTCTTGCTTGCACAGAGGAGCTGCCATTCGTCAGCTTCCCCCACTACATAAATTACTTATTGCACCAGTGGTTTTGCAGTTGTGTAAATGGATTATACCTGGCATGGCAGCGCTGAAAAATAGCTTGTTGATCAGTGGGATTGTCTGTGACCTGGGAAGGGATGAATTAGGCTGAAGAGTCTGTTTTTCACTAAAGAATCAAATATACTAATTATTTTAAAACAGCCTATTAAGGGGGGGAAATTCAGAGAGTTTATTTTCTATGTAAAATCCAACCACTCAAATGTTTCCGTATCAGAACACAGTTATGGGAGGTGGAGGGCGGGTGAAAGGCTGAGGAGAAAGAATTACTCAGGATGTGAACTGGATGTTTAAGGAATAGCACAAGTTATTTTTCTGGTTCAGCTGTGGGAAACAAACTGTTAACAAACCCAGTTAACAAAACAGTCGTGTCTGTAGAGGAGTCAGGGAATATCATAAACCCTTTCCATGGAACAGGGAGGTGAAATAAAGCTTTGGGAAGCTGCTCCATATTTAATTGTTGTTCTTCTGACAACAGCCTTACGGGATGCTGGCTCAGCAGGATTTAATTTGCTTCTCCAGCTCCAAAGACTTACTAATTTGCACAGGAAAAAGCCACCAGTCTTTAATGTCTACTGGAAATGACCATACATATCTCTGAAGGGGAAGGAAGTGCATGAAGAATGACTTGGGGAAGAAAGAAAAAAAAAAAAAAGGTTGGAATTTAAAGAGGAAAAAGTTGGAAAACACTTGTGCTAAAACATGAACCAGAAGTCTCTGGGGGAGGGGGGGTTGGTGCTCTAATCTCATATTTTAGAGCTCTTGCACACATTCCTGCCCAGGGAAGAGGAGATCTAGTGTGAAATGTGGGACTCAAATGGTGCGTGCGAGTCCTCTTTCTGCCACTTCCTTCTAATACAGCAAGACTTTTTTTTTTTTTTTTAAACAAAACCCACTAGTGTGAAGTCTACATCTGCATTTAAATTAGAACATCTTAAAGAAAAGAACAGGCTCCAAAGCTGCCCACAAGAAAGGTTTCCTTGCCAGGCTCCAGCATATGAACACTAACTAACTGCTTATTACCCAAGAAGAAATTCATTATCATGTAAATGTTGTTGGAGAGAGGAATGTGAATTATTTCTTTTTAATTTGGCTTTAAATTGCAGTTTAGGTGATAGTTTTGGAACTTAAGTAACACTTAGCATAATTGGATCTAAGCTTGCATTTATTACAGTTTTCTTTCTGTCTAGTCTTGAAAATCAATTTATGGACAAATGTAAGCTTTCAGATTATTGCATAATAAGGAAGTAAGGTTTTTATTCTTCTTTGCTCTCAGAGCCTATAAAATTGTAGAGTTTCATGGAAGACTAACTCTGTGGACTTGCTGCTGTGGGTGGAATTGCAAGCACATTAGTTAGCTTGTAGTGATTATCATTTGAAATGTGGATAGATTTTTTTTTTTTTTGGATGCTGGCAAAAATCTGTTGCTGCTACTTGGCAACTGAATCGTGTCTCTTGGGTGTTTGGCTTGTGTGTTAAGGGCTGAGATGCTACTTTTTGGATTTGTGGTTTTGGATTTCAATTTCTTAATATCTAATCTGAGCCTGCCCTCCATCAGTTTAAGGCCATTCCCCCTTCATACCCAGCACAGTTTTGAAGTGGCTGAAGATTAAGCTTGAGATTTGGAGTCTTCCTTGATTTGGAAACAGGGCTTTTGTGCTCTGTTTTTCTCTTTAACTATAGAAAATAGCCCCTGAAGTATAAATTTTGATCCCAGTGCAGAGAGCCCAAATATAAGTATAATGAGGAGTGTCCTGAACAGTAAGTTTGCTGTGTAGTCCCTTGAATTTGGTAAAAGAATTAATAAAAGAATTAATCTGTTACCTGAGAGGTTTATCCTTTATCTTATCAATCCTCTCTGTTGAACTTTTTTTAAAGACCATTAATCATAGCAAATGTATTCTTCTCTTTAAAGAGTTTTCTATAATATTTAAATTTCAAAAGTGGATTTTTTTCTTTTTAGCTTCTTAACACTGAAAGAAATGTAGCTTGTTAAAAATATTTGTGCCTAGAATAACAAGTCCAGATCCATTAAAGGTCAGTAGGTTTGGTCCTTCTGGTCAGCACAGTGGCCTCTTGTCCTTTCTGCTTCAGATCAGTCACAGCCACTTGCATAAAAATACGGGTGTGCCAGAGTTTTTGGGGTGGTTTCTGTGACACTTTGAACTCGTTGCCAAGCCCTGCTCACAGACCTCAAGGTGTTTAAATATATATATATATGTTAGCTGGAAAATGTCAGGATTCAGAAGGGTGTGAGGAAACGTGTATTTGTGTGATATTTCTGCCCTGTAATACCCGAAGCTTTCTGTCCTGTAATATCCAAGGCACTGAAAGGAATTAGCTGATGGTCTCAAATTCTAGAGTACAGGCAATTAATTTAAAGTTAGCCTGCTCTCTCAGCTGTCCTGAGGCAATCCTGTGAGTGTTACAGAGCAGAGCTCTGCAAAGTGCCTTCTGTTGAGCCAGTAATAGTTAAGTGGAATTTCATTCACTTCCTGTGTTGCAAGTTTTGTTGAAAGTAGTTCCGCTGTTTCTATTTTTAAATCTGATTACTGCGTGTGGAGGACACTGAAACTGCCTCAGAGTCACAAAAGACATCTTGGGATCACCTCAATTTCCACTGGGTGCTTACAAGCATTAACTGGAGGTTTGTCTGAACACGAGGAACACGCGGAAAACTTGTTGCTGATGTGGGAGTGTGATAGGAGACAGAGGTTGTTTTTTTTTTGAAACCAGGCACATCAAACCATCTGCTGAAATTGGGTTGAGCTGCTCGTGCCCTGGTGCACAGTTCATCTGAAAAACACGTGTGATGTGAGAGCCCCACACCTTTGTGGTTTCCAAAGGTGCATTTTGCTTGTTGCAGAGTCGTTAAGAACTGTTGGGGTGGGTTTTTTAACTCATTTTTTTTTCTAGCTCTTAAATCTTCACACTATAAAATTGTAAGATGTAAGTTACAGGAAAAAACCTGTGGTTTTTGGGTTTGTGGTTTGTTTTTTCATAAGTACTGGAGCTTGCACTTACCTCTAGTGGGAGCTGACCCTGTCACCTCAACGTAAGTGTGTAAGAATAAGAAATAAGCACTTTAATTACAGAGAAGGGAAGCATTTTGAGGTTGGTTGTCTTGTGTTCCAGCTCTGAATTCCTCTGCACAGCCCTGTTTGCAGCATTCCTCCAGCAGAACGAACTTCACAGACACAGCAGTATGTGCACGTCAAATTATGGCAAGTGAGCACAATATTGTGACTAAATCAGGAGGAACAAAATTATCCCGTGGCAGCTGCTTGGCTGTGAAGGGGGTGAGAAATATTGGAAGGAAATGAGAAAAAATGGTAGCTGGCAGTGGCAGAAATGGCAGTGCCACGTTAACATGGCCTTGGGGTGAAAAGGCATTTAGTCACGAAGCACATTAGGTGCTGTGGGGCTTTGTAATGTGAATTAATTGAAATTAAATTACAATTAAACCATCCTCTGCCCTTAGTGGTTTTGCAGCACTGAGGCTATATGGTGGAAAAATCCAGGAAGATGGGGAAGAAAAATTCCCTCTGGGTCAGGGGGAGGCAACAGCAGCAGAAAGCCCAGCTGGGGCTGGCCTTGGGGGGCAAATGGAAGTGTCTGCTCGACCTCTCCTGTTCCACAGAGATGTGTGGAGCAAAGCCAGTCCTGAAGCAGGAAGGAAGTAGCAGAAGCACAGCAGAGGAGGGAGGATGGAGGAACAGTCCTGCTCAGCCCACAGCCTTGGGGAGCCAGCACGGGGTAACCGAAGGAACCCTCTTGCTTCATGCTGGTTTTGGTTCCCCAAATCTCTGGGACCCTGTCAGTGTTAAGGCAGCAGGATTTTACAGGCATTAACTGCAGCTCAGCAGGCTCTGGGGTTGTTACAGAACCAATTCTCAGTTAACTTTGTGTGCCAAAGGACTGATGCCTCCATGCTGGAACTGCAGGTGCTCCTCAGTAAAATAGCTGCTTACTGTACACAGTGGAAAAACATTTGGCTTTTTAAGCTTTCACTTGATTCATTAACTCTGACAATGACGATCTGAGTGCTTTGCCTGCATGTGGGAAAGCCCTGAGGGCTGTGAAATCCCACCTCAGCCATGCTCTGCCTTTGGGCAAACCCACGGAACAGAAACTTCTCTGAAGCTGGCACAGGTGTTGCCTTCAGCTGGTTGCACACTCTGAGAAGAGCTGACTGATGTGGCCTGTGGTCCCTGGGTACCATTTTCAGCAGTGCATGTCATACCAGGTGTTTGAATTCCCGGCCCCGGGATTTAGTGCTTCCCAAACTGTGCTTGGCACAGCTCTGGTGCAGCTCTTGGTGACAGCTTTTGTGTCGATTACCCTGTTAGCCAAAAGTTTGAAAAAAAGGCCATCACGGTCTGTAAGAAACATGGAAATCTGTGGCTGAAAATATTTGGGAATCTCTGATCTCCTTTGAACATATCACCCTTTTCTGGGAGCACACTCACTTCAGTTGAAGCAGTGGAGATAAGGACAGTTCTGATGTTACTAAAAATAAACTACAATCATCAGTAAACTTCGCTGTGCCAGTAAAAATGTTCGCTCCAATTGCAGGCATTTATTTGGTCTGTATAAATTTACAAATATGTAACTTGTTAAAATAAAGGAAAGTAAATATTTGTGCTTTTAGCACAGGCTTGGTTGCTGTAAAAGCTTGTTACTGACATAAAGTGTTCTGCAATTTGCTGCTCTTTATGTTCACTTCCTGTGTTTTGCCTGTTATTTGCCTACAGCTACGGCTGAATATTTGTAAAAAATTGCGATAACCTTGAGAATTCAAAATGTTCAGCTGTCAGAAATGTTTTTGGAAACCGAGTCCTTCCGTGTGTGTGTGTGTGAAATCCTTTGTTTAGCCATCCTTAAGCCTCAGGAAGCTCTTGACTTCTCTCGTGAGCTGATGTGCTCAGCTGAGTGCAGACACTTCCTGAAGCTCAGCTAAGCCAGAAGGCTCCTGGGCAGAAGGGATAAACAAGTGGACACGGGAATATTCCTTGGCTTCCTGCAGTGTTCAGTGTTTTGTTTAAACCGTGCACTTGTTCAGGGTCAGAAATCATGTACTTGGCTGACGGTACCCAAATTTGCTGGGCAGCAAAGACAGTAGTAGTTTTATTTTGGGCAAGTAGTTTTATTTTGCCCAAGACAGTGGTGGTCCAAGGCAGTAGTAGTTTTATTTTCAAACCCAAGAGCAAGGGAGTCTGATGGGTTTTTGTCTTCAATACTTAACAGGGTGAGGTCTGAATAGTGGCTTTGCACATTTTCGGTGACTGTATTTCCACGGGAGGATTTTTGCCTTGGAAATAACCTGCCCTCCTTAAAGACATTATGCAGAGTTTGGCATTGTGGAAAATGTCTTTACAAACTCTGCTGATAAGTCCCATGTGTTGGATGTTCTGAATGCTGGGGGAACACTTGGGAGGTGGTCCCAAATAAGGAATTTTCCATGCTGGGATCATTCTTGAACCGCAATAAATAGTGTTTCTGCTGTGTTCAGAGTGATAAACTGCACCTTTTTGAAAGAAACGTTTGGGTTTGTGGCCCTTTGCAGGCGGAACCTGACAAAGCTGTCCCTGATCTTCAGCCACATGCTGGCAGAGCTCAAAGGGATCTTCCCAAGTGGCCTCTTCCAGGGAGACACGTTCCGGATCACCAAGGCAGATGCTGCAGAATTCTGGAGGAAGGCTTTTGGGGAAAAGTAAGTTTCTAACTGTGCTTAAAAATATGGATGTGGGAACAATTTGCACACAGCACAATGTACTTTTCTGAATTCTGTTTTGACATTGAGGAAGGGCTTTGTCAGGTTAAAATGAACAATGGGAGAGACCTGCTGGTCATTTGGTTCCTCTCTGGGGTGAGATAAGGGGTTGTTCCCACATTACATTTCCCAGATTTTTGTCCTGTCTGGTTTTAAATGCTGACTCTTTCCCCACTTTTCCCACTTACTGTCACAGAGTTTCCCTTGATTATTCAGCTTAAATCTTCCTCTCCTTGATTTAATTCCTTAACTTGTAAATAAGCTCCACAAACTATGCAAAATAATCTGCTTTCTTCTTCCAAAAGTTACCATGCAAAATAATCTGCTTTCTTCTTCCAAAAGTTACCATGCTCCCAAATATTAGTTATCCTTTCTTTTCATCTTCCCTCCAATTAGTGTTTCCAAGCACTTGGTCACCTTTTTTCCTGAACTTCTGTTTGCAGAATGGCTTTGATGAGGTGAAGGAGAAAGTGAAGTGCAATGTGGATTTGTGTGAAAACTGTTGAAATGTCAGCTTTAGCTTTTGTATCTAATAAAAAACACTGACTGAATGAACCACAGAGGTGTTCACAGCAACATTTGAGGATTAAAATTAATAGATTTGGTACTGCTTTCAAACTAAGGGAACTGAGGTACTTCACCTAGAGTTTAATTAGTAGCTGTCAGAACAAAAAGCCATAATGTATTTACTCATGAATAACAGAGTTGTCTGAAGTGAGGCATCTTCTTTCTATGTTTCTATTCCACTTGATATATTAAAAGAAGGAAAATATTCCTTTAAACAGGAGCCTCTGCTCTGGCTTTTGATTATCTCACTTCTCCAGTTAATCCTTCTTTAGAGAATTGTTTGGAGCTTTTTTTCTTCTTTTTTTTTAAAACCATCTAGACCTCTGCTATAAGCCCTACTGTTAACTCCTTCTCTACCAGCTGCAACACTGTGAAATTATTATCAAGTGATGCTGTGGTGGGAAAAGGGAAAGGAGGAAGCAGGGCTGGACTTCTGACTCCAAAATTTTGCACGTGCAGCGAAAATTGCCTGAAGTTCCTTTGGCTGCTGATTTCCTGCAGCACCAAGAAATCTGTGCTTGTGTGACATGAATAAATAAACCTCCTGAGCTGGATACTCACCAAAAGAATGTCTAGGTGTGTCCATGGGGGTGGTTTTCAGACGCATCCCAACGTTGGTTTTCCCCAGGACCATCGTTCCTTGGAAAAGCTTCCGCCAGGCCTTGCACGAGGTGCATCCCATCAGCTCAGGGCTGGAAGCCATGGCCCTCAAGTCAACCATTGACCTGACCTGCAATGACTACATTTCAGTGTTTGAATTTGACATCTTCACGCGACTTTTTCAGGTAAGAACTGTCTCAGTGCTTCAGGTTCAACTCTTTTTTTTTCCCCAGCCTGTTTTATGCACTAAAATGACATTGTTTATACTGCACGGGATCTGGTTGTCTTGCCCTTCATCCCTTAAACAGCTTTAGTAATACTTAGGATCCCATGTTGCAGTAAAAGTGTGTGATATTCATGGTTGTAGAAAAAAAAAATTATCTAAATATATACTGCACATTCAGTATCCTGCCATGAATCAGGTTTTCCCTTTCAAAGGTCACTTTGAGCCTGGAGTTCTGACACATCTCCTGCAAGCCAGGAAATGTGAAGCTTAGTTTATCACTCTTGTCTTCCCTTGTCTTTCTCTTCCTTGTCAGATTTATTTTCCATATTGGGGGGGGAGGTTGTTCAGGATGGAGCTTGAGCGTGGAAATTTGGGCTTCCTCTCTTTTGAACTGGCACAGCCAGGATGTTGTGGCCACGTCTGTGTTGGGTGAAATCTCACTGAAGTGAGATTAATAGGAGGTAAAATCCTGACCCAGGGTCTTTAGTAGTGCTAAATTAAAAAATGCAGCTTCTGATGGTACAATTGGGTATTTAGAAGAACAATCACTTACTTCTTTGGCTCTGACTTGCCTTTTCCCATGTGATAGGGTGGGTTGTAATTAAGATACGTCTAGATGAAAAATTCCCATGTTTGGTGTTGCAATGTAGCTGATCTCATTCAGTACTTTTTCCAGCTATTGTACATAGAGAACAAGTCAAGAGTTGCTGCAAATTCCAAGAGTTGCAAAGTTCTTAGGCAGTGCTGATACCTTCTTGTGGGCAAGTTAAAAAATTCAGAAAAATCGGATGAGATTTAGACACCCAAGTCCTTCTTAAGGTTGAGAGCTTTGAAATTGTTATTGTGACTTTTGGGGTGTTGTTTTAAGGGATATTTAACATGTGTGTGCTGGCTTATTTATTCAGATCTCAGACTAGCCAGCAATCCTCGCCACACCCCGGTGAGGTTGGGTGGTTGAGGAACAGTCACAAGTTACAGACAGTGAAACTGAGACAAAGAGAAGAGGTCACTGTCCTGAGGCCATTTAGGAAGTGTTGGAGATCAGACTACTGGTGGTTTCTGGTGCTGTGCATCACCTCATTAAACCCTTGACTTTATCCCTGTCTCAGGAGTGAGTCACTGTCTCTGCAGAAGCAGCCCAGTTGATAGCTGCTCCTGAGCTGGGACCTCAGGGCCTTCCCCTTAGTATTTATTAAAGAAGTTTTGATCAAGGTCTGTCTTGGGTGATGGTTTTGTCCAACAAGAGAAATGGTTTTACCACCAACAAGAGAAGAACCCAACTGCTCAGTGCTGCATGGGAATGGGTGTTTTGGTTCCTCTGCTGGATTTGTGGTGGAAGACGAAACCCGTTCCTACAACTGAAGAACTGACCCCTTTGATGAAGGGCTGTTGTGTGTGTTGACACCTCTCAGGAGTGAGTGGTTAATCTCTTTCTGTGTTGCTCCCACAGCCGTGGTCGTCCTTGCTCAGGAACTGGAACAGCCTGGCAGTGACTCACCCTGGTTATATGGCATTCCTGACCTATGACGAGGTGAAGGCCAGGCTGCAGAAATTCATTCACAAACCTGGCAGGTTCGTGCTCAGTGTTTTGGATGGTTCTTACTGACACCACTGATCACTGCCCCTGCTGAGCTGACACTTCTGGCTGGGCAGGAAGGGCCACGGGGTCGTTTCTGGGGGTTATATGGTCACTTCTGTGCTGCTTTTAGAAATGGAAACCTTGTCTAGTCTGCTTGTGGGTTTTGGTGTTTGTTGGGTTTTTTAAAGTTAACGTCAAACAAATGATTTTAAGGATGTTAACTTGTCCTGCTCTGGGTTTAATGTCACCTGGATGCTTTTCTCGCCTCGTCTCACGTGGCAAAGTTCCCCTTTGATCTGCCTGGGGGTCAGTTGAGAGAAGCTGGTATAAATCATCAAGTTATCCCTGATTTTTATTTGCTGTCTGGAGACAACCAGGCCCAAAGGCTGCCTGCTTGACATTGAATCTCTTCTGTTTGCTGCAAGCTGAAGTTTCTTTCCCTTGCCTCAGTTACATTTTCCGGCTGAGCTGCACCCGCCTGGGGCAGTGGGCCATCGGCTACGTCACTGCAGATGGGAACATCCTGCAGACCATCCCCCACAACAAACCCCTTTTTCAAGCACTGATCGATGGCTTCAGGGAAGGCTTGTAAGTACCTTTGTCAAAATTCACACCTCAGTTCAACTGGGAGTGGTCCCGTTGCTGCCAGTGGAATAATTCATATATTGAGCTGTTTTGGCACAGTTGTCTTTGCTGCCCTCTGCAGTGGCAGGTGGTAAATGTGCAGCAGTGTTTCCCTTGTCATAGATCCCTTTTTAGTCAAACCTTTAATTTGAGCAACAGCCACTGATATTATGGCATCAGTTTTCTTATTCTTGATATTACAATTATTATAATATATATATATATTATATAGGATGATTTAAGAAGAATAGTCTGGGACCATAACATCCTGTTTAAAATAAAAATTACTACCAGGAGGGACAACAAACTTCTTTTTATTTTTAAGAATAACAGATTTGGGGTTTTTTTGGATCATCAGATTCTTCCAAAACCTTCTGAATTTCAGAATACCTTGAATTCTCACCCCTCACTTCTCACCTTCATCCTCTCTTTCCTTCACCATCCCCAAAATATACCTGATTTCTGTGTGTGTGTACTTATGCATGTGTGTACATGCACATATAGAGAGAGCTTTTTTTTTCCCAACTGCTTCCAGTTATTTATTTCCCGATGGCCGGAATCAGAATCCTGACTTGACTGGCTTGTGTGAGCCCACACCTCAGGACCACATTAAAGTTACACAGGTGAGTAAAATGTTCTATCCCATCAAACTCCCAATTTCTAGCCTCATTTAGCTATTTCCACAATTCTGTCATACTTGGCATTCCCAAGTTTGTTTTTAAGGCCTCTGTATTTTACAGGAATTACAGAAATCTTTGAATGGTAGGGATGGGCAAAGACATATTTAAAGGGTTTATTTTTAGAATGTTCTGCCAAGTATTGATGCTTTTGTGCCATTCAGCATGTCTTGAGCCCTGCTTTTCTTGGCACACTTAAGTGAAACATTGGGATAATTTGAAGTCCACTTTCTTCAGAGCTTGATACTTAAAATGATAGTAAAATCTTTGCAGATTTCTGTTCTCCTTTTTATTTTATGGCATCACCCGTGTCTGTCTGTCTTTCCCTAAGGAACAATATGAGCTGTACTGTGAGATGGGCTCCACCTTCCAGCTGTGTAAAATCTGTGCTGAGAACGACAAGGACGTGAAGATTGAACCTTGTGGCCACCTGATGTGCACGTCCTGCCTCACGGCGTGGCAGGTAAGGCAGTCACTCTGCTCTCAGGGAAGCTCCTGGCTCTCTCCCCCTCCAAACTGGGCAGTTTCCTGCAGGGATGGAGATAAAACAGCAGAACTGAGGACTGGAGCTCACAGTTCAGTAATATCAGTGCATCAGAAGCAGTTTAGATGCTTAATCTGGAATAGGCAGGAAGTGTGAGAACTTGCAAAAAAGCTGTTTTCTGCTTCGGGAGGAAAATACTCTGTATTTGTAGCACGGTTTGCCTTTGTCTCCCTGTCAGCTGGAAGGTGGTGCTGTGACAGATGCCTTCTCTTCCCTGCAGGAATCAGAGGGCCAGGGTTGTCCTTTCTGCCGCTGTGAGATCAAGGGCACGGAGCCCATCGTGGTGGATCCCTTCGACCCCAGGGGAGGAGGAGGATTATCCCGGCAAGGGGCAGAAGGAACTCCCTCCCCCAGTTACGACGATGATGAGGATGACAAGGCTGATGATTCCCTCTTCATGATGAAGGAGTTGGCTGGTACCAAAGTAAGGTCCCTGCAGTGGGTGACAGCAGGTCTGGCAGTGCATTTGCCCACCAGTTTCCTGTGGTTTTAGTGATTTGTGCCGGTGAGGGTCGTCAAACCTTATAAAGGGAAAAGATCCTGCTCATTGTGGAAAACAGGGATTTAGGTTCAGTTTGGTGAGTTAAGTTCACGCTGTCAGTTTTATTAAACACTTGGAATCCTTTGATCTCCTGTGTATTGAAAGAATCCCTGGAAGGGTGAAAAGGGCTGGCCTGACCTGTGGGAATGGCAGGTGTAGGTTTGTAACCCTCCTCTGTGTGTTGGCCATGCTGCCTTTGATTTACCAGCCAGAGTTCACCCAGATCAGCACAAATCCCTCCAGCTTTCCCCGGTGGTGAGTACAACCAGGCAGGCACAGCCTTCCCAAGGTCCTGATGACTAAACAGGGTAGAGGACAGGCTGTTTTGCTGAGGAAGTCAATTTGACTGTCAGCTGTTTATATGCTGCCTGATAAGTGTACCTAATAAAGGTGTGATACCTCTGCTATTAGTGCTGCTTCCCTCCAGGAGCTGTGTATAAGGCAGA